AAATAAATAAATAAATAAATAAAATAAAAGAATTTTTAAAAAGTTTAGTTCTTTGGTTGCCAGCTGCTCTTATTGAACATCCTGCCTTCCTCCTCAAAGAGTCGGTTTCTAGGCATCCCTTCACCCCCGAGGACAGTCACCCTCAGACTTTTGAATTCTTCGTGTCCACATACCTTCTGGGTGTTGAGAGAGGGTCAAATGTATGTATAGTTCATTTGCCCCAAATTTCATAAAAGTAATCCATTTGAGCTCTTTGAAAATGCAACATGAACTTTTGTTCAGCAGACTTTTAGAGAAGGAATGCCACAGGAGGGTTTCCTAATTCCCCTTGGAAGCTCAAGACTTAAGGGTTTGGCAGTTTGCAATTTGGGTAAAAATAGTGTTTACTGGGAGTTTAACCACATGTTTTAATACTTTTGGTAGAATAGCTCAATAATCCTCACAATTACGCTGTGAGATAGATACTAGTACGCACCATCTTTCAAATAAATTGAGGCACAGAAAAGTTATGTAATTTGCCCAAGAACACACAACTAAGTAGAACTAAGTAGATTGGAATTCAAGTAACGTACCTCCAGAGACCTTGCCAGTAGACCTTTGTCGTCCTCACACCTAAACCCATTCCAGAAATTCCCATCAGCTAGCAGTTATACCATTTGCTTTATGACTAGTCCAGGATCTTGAATAATAGGACAGCACAGATACGAATACACCCACTTTGGTAAATCGGTCCGTGGGCTTTAGTTTCTTTGAAAAGGAGGCAGTTGAACTAATCAATGCAGTCCCTTTCTGCCTAAAATTACTCAATGTAATCTTAGTTTGGTAGATTCTCAACTGAAACTGAATAGAAGATGGAAGGAAGAATAAGAAAAAAACCTGGACCTTCAGTCAACCTGGGGAAGTGTTCCAGTGGGAATTGCAATCAATTAGAGAGCAACCTATTGAGTTAGGTTCTTATTAAAGAATATTAATCCAAAAATCTAGATTTCTCTATTAATATAGTATTAGAAAAAAAGATTTTTTCATTTTCTTCATTTTGGAAACGTGCAGAGGAAGCATACAGCTGGCAGAGCATACGAAAGGAAGCCAAAAGTTTTCAGTCCCAGGTCTTCTTGCAATCCTCCATCCAAACCCCAGCAGACACAACTCTCCTTAGCATTTTGGCCTGGGAGTCCTCAGGTTGCGATGGCGCCCTTGGGCTGCTGGAACTGATCCACACGGGAAATTTTCAGGCCATGGCAGGACGGCAGGAAATGTAGCCAGAGAGTCAGGTATCAGTTAGAAAGCATTGTGAGAAGCAGCAGAAAGCAAGAAGGTAACAGAAATCCATGAGCCTCCAGCTCCCGGTCTCCCCAGGCAATCTGCCATCCATGTCTCCGCCAGGCCAAACACTGCTTAGCTTCCGGACTGGGACGCCCTCAGGCTGCTATGGCGCCAGGGTGCTGCCGGGACAGATATCCATGGGGAGGTCCCTGTCCATGGTGGGGAAGCATTCGGGCTAGAAATGGGGGCCAGAAACCCCGGCGGCGGGGAGTGGAAAGCATTGACAAGTGGTGGAAAGCATTGACAAGTGGGGGAAAGCCGGAAGGGAGCAGGAGAACAAAACTCTCCAGCCCCCGGCCTTCCCAAGTGGTCTTTCATTCAAGAACCTGCCAGGCTTGACCCTGCTTAGCTTTGGAGCAGGGGTGCCGTCAGGCTGCTATGGTGCTCGGGGGCTGCTGGGCAGACCCCCATAAAAAGGCCCCAAGCTGTGGTTGGGGTGCAGGCGGGCAAGTGTGGGACAGAAAGTCAGTGGGCAGTTAGGAAGCATTTTGTCAAGTAGTGAAAAGTGGGAAGGAAGCTGGAAGCCAAAAGCTTGCAGCCCCCAGTTTCCCCAGGCGGTCTACCATCCAAGCCCCAGTCAGATCTGACCCTGCTTCCCGTCCAGCCAGAGGCGCCCTCGGCTGCTACACACCCAAGGGCTGCCAAGCAGACCCCAAAAAGAAGGTCCTGGGCTGCTGTTGGGGCCCAAGTTGGCAGAAAAGCGGGGCCAGAGAGTCAGGGGACGGTTGGAAAGCATTGCAATAAGTGGTGGAAAGCGGAAAGGGAGCAAGAAGACAAAAGCCTCAAGCACCCTGTCTCCCCAAACGGAACTCATACAAGCCCCAGCAAGGCCCGACCCTGCTTACTTTCAAAACTGAGGCACCCTCAGGCTGCTACGGCCCCAAGGGCTGCTGGGGTGGCCCCACACAAGTAGTTCCCCCGCAGCCATAGAGGCAAAAAAGGGAAAACAAAAAAGGATCAGCCAGAGTTAGGGGCTGTTAGGAAGCATTGCTACAACTGGGAAAAAGTGTGAATGGAGCGGAAAGCCAGAAGCCTTCATCCCCTACTAATGGTCTCCCATCCAAGCCCGTGCCAGGACTGATCCTGCTTAATTTCCAGCTAGGATGCTATCAGGCTGCTATGGCCACCGTTGGCTGCCAAAACGGAATTCCAAGTGGAGGCCCTGGATCCTGGCAAAGGAGCAGTCAGATAATAAAGGAAAATCCCACTTTTCCCAAACCAAACACCACATGTTCTCACTCATAGGTGGGTGTTGAACAA